TTCCACTTGATTACAAACCTGTACCAGCGGCAAATTTCAGGAGAAAAAAAATTAATTACTGGGGAACTTATTGATTCAAAAATTCACGTGTAAGTCCAGAGTAATCAAAGGTGAGTTTCACGTCCCTATATTATACTGGCAACTCAAGTCAAATATTTGAGTGGTATAATTACTGCGGGGGAAAGTATTGATTTAAAAACTCACAATTGTGAGTAAACAAATAACGTACAGTTTACAGTCGTAACTTTGTTTCAAATGATAAACATTTTATTAACAAAACTTACTCTTTTCTGGCTGTCTCTATAGTTAAAGGAACATTATGCCTTAGAATTCCATATTTTTCAATTCTTTAGAAATGTTAAACAAGTTTTTAATAATGTTTTCATAATGGATAATGAGCATGTTAGATATTCAACAACTAAAAATGTAGCGCTAAACATGCAGTGGTGTGTCGGAAAGGTATCAAAATGTAAACAAAGTATATAATATTTTGACTTTCGTACAAGATACTAGTTCACCAAATATACCATTTACCCAATTGCCAACGGAGCAAAATAAGCAAAAGATCGTATATTTATATGGTAAATGAGTATTTAATTAATTAGTTCGTTCATTCGTGCACTTATTTATTTATTTATTTGTTTGTTTGCTTATTTCATTTTTTTCGGGGGGGGGGGGGAGGGGACTCTGACAAGAAAGTTTTCCTGAAATAATCAGCATTTCTAAGGCATAATGGACCTTTAATTTACTAGTACCGTTACATGTTTCAAGAGGGACGTCCGTGGCCGAGTGGCTAAGGTCATTGACATCGAAACACTTGTTCCTCACCCCTGTAAGTTCGACTTCACTGTGTGAAAATAGAACATGCACACGGCGTCGTTTGGAGTCTTTATGTGAGAAAGCCATCCAGCTAGCTCACAGAAAGTCGTGGATTGTACTCAGGTGCATGTGTTTGTGCCTAAAATAATGCACATGGGGGCTCCGAGGTCTTCCTCCACAAGTAAATCTGGAAAGTTGCCATATGACATTCTGTGTTGGTGCAACGCAAGGCCTAATTCCGTCAATCATGAATTAAGATGAAATTAAGATACAAATTAGCCCTGTATATAGAAAACCGAATATTTACATCATACTAGTAATTTATCCAACCGTTGCGTTGTCATTTATTGGCCAGTAGGCTCGCCATTTTATTATTTTTTTATTTTTTAAGGCTGGTGTCCTCCAAAATATTTTATTTATTGGTAAAAGTGTAATTTTATTGATTTGACCAATTTGAATATTGGCTTCTGTCTATTAAAGATCGCAAAAATATAGTATGGTATAGGCACCTTGTAATCCCCCGTGTGTGGGAGGAGAGGGGAGGGGGCGGTACAAACATTTTTTTGAAAGTTCAACATCGAAAAAAGAAAATAAGCAAAGAGCAGTCTAATTTACCGTGTACCGTATTACCGTATTAAAGTTGTGACAGTCATCCTGGGGCGTGCGGCACTGTGGGGAGCCTGGAACCCCCCCCCCCCCCCCCCATTTGCCGAGATCCTGAACAACTATTCTAACTATTCTTACAAACTTTCTACAAATATCGGAGACCTTTGACAATCCTATTCCATTTTTTTAAAAAAATCATCATTTTGTTGACACTGTGTTCTCTCAAAATAATTTATTTTTAGAACAAATGTCGCGAACGTTGCGTATGTTTATCTGTATGAGGACATGTACATTTTCTAACAGATTAACGGAGACATAGTTGTAGTTGTACATTATAGAGGAGTAATTAGATAGTCTGAGTTAAACGAAAGTTTCTAGTGGAAAATAATATACTAGTATCATTAAAGTCAATATTGCTTACAGTTACCTACAGAAGGGCGTTTGTTTTTATATATACAGTCTGCGTCTTTACTATATATTGACTGAACCTTTCCCCGTAGGTAAAACAAGTCCATTTTTACAGGGTTTCTTTTTCCTTTCTTTTCTTTTCTTTTGTGTGGTATTGATACTTGTATGTTTTCTTATATCTTGAAGATGTGAACTGTTTGTCTGATCGTAGATCTATTAATAATATAAGAAGTCGATATACTAATTATTCTGCTTGCTACTGTATTGTATTGGTTTCTTTATTGATAATAATTATTATTATTATTATTTGTTATTATTATTATTATTATTATTATCATTATTATTATTATTATTTTGTTTTTGTCTTATTGTTGTATTTATTTTTGTTGATGTTTATTTAAGTGTGGGGGTGTGTTTGTTGTTTCATTTGTTTTTTTTCTTATTCCTTGGGAGAGTTGTGTGTGTGCGTGATGTGCGTGCGTGCGTGTGCGTGTGGGTTGGTGGGTGCGTGCGTGCGCGCGTGCCGCGTGCATGTGTTAATTGCTTTTTATGGAGGGGATTGGGTGAAGGAGGTTTGTTGTTGTTATAATTTTCTTGTTTATTGTTATTATTATCATTATTATTTATTATTATTATTATTATTATTATTATTATTATTATTACATGTTTTATTCAAATGATTTATTTTATATTCCTCCTAAATCCGGAAATTAGTTACAGTAATAAATAATAAATTAATAAATATTATAAGATACATTTATAATATGGGGGCATTATTATTTATTTATCTTATTAATTTTTTTTTAATTTATCTATTTTATTTATTTTTTTTGGGGGGGGGGGGGGGGACGGGGTCAATATTTTAGTCGTCAAGTGAAACAGCATAAGTTTCCGATTGTCCAAAACACGAGGTATCAATCGCAACTACTCGGCCCTTTCCGTCAGTCTTCGGATAAGGACCTCGAACACAATAGTATGAATACACAGAACGGATGCGGTATTTCGGTCTTACCTACGCTAAGAAACTAAACATGTAAAAAATTGAACATCAGTGGACATATTTAAATTACAAATTGTAGTCAGACATATTTTCAAGAATAAGAGTACCGGAACAGACATTTGATGTCAAATATATACATTCGTTTTACATTATCTCTGTTTCTGTTTACATCTGAAACCACGTGGTAGAACTACTTTCAATCCGAATTGTTTCCGAGGTTATTATAGATAATAGCCGAGGCAGTTCCGAATGCACGAGGTATTACATTGCACTTTTTGCCCCCTAAACATTTAAAGAAATGAAATATAAAAAAAAAGTTATCAAAGAAAACCTTAACTTGACACAATTTTTATCGCTTTTCTGTCCAATGCATATCACAAAATGTCGTGTGGTATAGGCACCGTGAAATAGCCTATTCGAAAATAAAGTCTTACATATTACCAGGGTATCAGGTCGTATGCATTATTCGGGCAGTCAGTCAATAAACCAACCAACTAATTGATCTTGCGTGTAATAAACGTACGCGTCACGAAAGCCAGTGTACGTTGCTCGCTTCTGTCGTTTATTTACACACAGTATATAATGATTGATCATCAATGTAAATAAAGTAAAAAAAAATAATAAAGATAAAACAAGAGGGCCATGATGGCCCTGAGGTCGCTCACCTGTATATAGGACCCGGAGCGGGGCCAGTTTAAACCCCAGGGCTTTTATTTGAACAAACTTGGAAGACACCCATTAGAAGATGTTTCATGATGTTAAAGTTTAACTACACACATATAATGAAAAACAATGATCTCCCCCCCCCCCGGCAGGGCCAAATTTAACCCAAGGGCTTTTATTTGAACAAACTTGGTAGACACCCATAAGAAGATGTTTCGTGCTAAACATCTAAGCTCTAGCTCATTGGGTTTTTTAAAAGAAGATGTTTTAAGTTTTTACTATACACATATAGGTAAAAACAATGACACCCCTGGGGCGAGCCAGTTTTGACCCCAGCAGGGCTTTTATTTGAACAAACTTTGTAGACACTTACTAGAAGATGTTTCATGCTTAAAATTTAAACTCTAGCTATTTGGGGTTTTTTCAAAGAAGATTTTTAAGTTTTTGCTATACACATATAAGGAAAATCAATGATCCCCGGGGCAGGGCCAATTTTGACCCCAGGGCTTTTATTTGAACAAACTTTGTAGACACTCACTAGAAGATGTTTCATGCTTAATATCTAAACTCTAGCTATTTGTTTTTTTTTTTTGCTATACACATATAAGGAAAATCAATGACCCCCAGGGCGGGGCCAATTTTGACCACAGGGCTTTTATTTGAACAAACTTGGTAGACACCAATTAGAACATGTTTCATGCTAAATATCTTTTTACTAAATATGCATATAGGGAAAATCAATGACACCCCTGGGGCGGGGGAAATTTTGACCTCAGGGCTTGTATTTGAACAAACTTGGTAGACACTCATTAGAAAATGTTTCATGCTAAATATCTTAGCTCTAGCTCTTTGGGTTCTTTAAAAGAAGATTTTTTAAGTTTTTACAATATGCATATAGGGAAAATCAAAGACCCCTGGGGCGGGGACAATTTTGACTCTAGGGCTTTTATTTGAACAAACTTGGTAGACACTCACTAGAAGAAGATGTTTCATGCCAAATATCTAAGCTCTAGCTATTAGAGTTTTTTGGTTGCCATGGCAACCAGAGTAAATTCTTTGAACAATTTAAAAGTTGACCACCAAAGGAACATTCCTGTGAAGTTTGGATGAAATTGGCTTAGTGGTTTATGAGGAGATGTCATTAAAGTAAAAGTTTACGGACGGACGGACGACTGACGGACGCCGGACGAAAAGCGATCACAAAAGCTCACCCTGACACTTTGTGACAGGTGAGCTAAAAAGCTATCAGGAAAAGTTTATTTAATTCGATGCCGTTAAATGTTTTCTTGATTTTCTGAAACTTCAAGATTGTGATTTATATGGATTTTATTATTTTATATCTTAATCTGTTGGTTCGTATTATTTGTTTATTTTTTGTTAACAATCTTTTTTATTGGGTACGATACTATTTAGTACAAATGTTTTATGGATGTATGAGTTGTCTTTCTTACTACTACGTATACACGATAAACCCAAAGATACAACCAAATGAGCGATATTTTTAATAACAAGCAATTTCATTGGTTTAGGTCAACGAAAAGCACGAAATTCGAAAGAAGATCAGAGGTTGTAAAAATAAAGAAAATATAAAACATTTAAGGTATCCTCGGATCTTCATAGCGATATGCCGCCAATGAGACCTCAGTGAGAATTATTTATATACTGTATTTCTACAATATAGTTTTATATGATTAAATTTTATTTCTTGTTTCAGAGCAGACTTGCGCTTTTTTTCCAGATTTTGGTGGGTGACAGTGGGTGGGGTACAGAAAATAAGTTTGTCAATAATTTTAACATGAAAATTATTTCCGCCTCTGTTTACTGTCTTATAACTTACTATCTTCGCTTTAGACGTTTAAAGAATAAAGATTAAAAGAAGCTTTATTTAAATGTTCATAATGATTAGATCTACAAAATATTTTTTTTTTAAAAACTGGATAGAATCTAGTTTAGCAAAAGTTAGTCCTATTTATGTGATGACGCCTTTAGGTATTTTTGCTTCACGGTAAAGCAATGTCATATCGATATGGCTCAAAAACCCATTGCATGTTCTGCAAGAAAATTTTGTGGAACAAAAAACAATTAAGACAGCATATATTGGAAGTGGTTAGGTACGGGCCCATATGACTAGCCAAAAGTTCTAACAGTACATGAGTCACGATTAGCTAGCCAGGACTCACTGTATTGTCTAGCCGAAGGGCACTTTTTCAAAATTATATGAAAGTGCGAATATCAATCTTTGCACTAACAAAGTTCTATGCTCCTGCATTTATGAATAAATTATGCAAATTAGCCGCCATGTTGGAGTTTAGGTAAGCGTGTTGGAAATTGCTACCTGTTCGTTTTGAAAGCTCGTCCTAACTAACAGTTTCCTTGAATGTAGGAAAACTTGGTTTTGTTTGATTGCATATTGAATGATAGGTATTACAAAATAAATATAATGAAAATCGATCAATAAATAATTGTATACGTCATAATACGAGCGTTATAAAGTCAATTCAATTCATGAGAATAATAAGGTTCTGTTGCAGGGTATCGGTAAAAGACTGATTTTTTTCCCGTTTTTGAAATTTATTTGAACACGGAGACAATTTTTCTCAAACAGGTTTATGAATATACTTGACGTTGCAACAGAGTTTACCGTGTGTCCATTCCTTATTTAAATTGTCTGAGAAGTTAAATCTGTTTGTTTACATGTAAATGTGTACCGTCATTTTGACCGACTGGAATAAAAACTACCATGACGATGATAATACCGGATATGTAATGGAAATTATGCCATGTAGTGCAAAGTTTTGGACATTGCAATTAAAATTAACACTTACGTTGACTCTAACTGTTCCTTGTCAGCAAAATTGAAACCGAAAGTAGTGGTTGTTCTAGAATTTAATCGAATAAAATGGGTGGGATTTAACCACCGCGCATGCCCTGTGCGAACGTATTGTTTACATCCGGTCGTAGCATAGGGTAATAGTGCAAACTTTGTTAGTGCTTTGTCATTTCAAGATGGCAAGAAAAAGGAAGTTGAATAACATCAATTGAAATCGTTTACATATTTATTATAATTATTCTCCTTTTTTGTTTCAGTAAACTTAAATTTCAACACATGATATAAAAATGAAAAAAAAAACACTGAAAATAATTGTTGTTAGGCTCTTATGATTGCATCAATTTTACTAACAGTAGAAGTTTGTCCATCATTAAGGAAAGTTTGCGTGTTCCATGAAACACATTCTAAAATTCTATTGTCAGTCCCTGTAAATAAAATCATAAATAAACACATGACGCCAGGGTTCTAGTGAGAATGCATTTATTCTTGAATTTGACGAAAACAAGCTACTTTTGGCCATGATGATTATTTATTCTTAATAAAAAAAGATGATTTAATAATTCATCTTTCATACAAATAAAACAACAAATCATAAGCATAAAAACAGCAACATTATAACTGAAACTATTTATCATTAAGTCATAGATATAACTGTGCGTATAGTCATATACAATGTATTTTGTATCATGTGTCATGTAACTGACACTTTTATCAAGATGACAGTGCTATGATAATGCATTTCCTTGTTTTCTTTTATTTTACAAATTGGCGGAGCATCTTTATTTAAATAAACATACAAGGACAAATGAGCGTTTTTGGTTAAAATACTCATTTAAAAACACAAAATAACATATGCATTTTCAAATTTTAAAAAGTGCCGTACGGCTAGACAATACAGTGTGTCCTGGCTAGCAGTACGTGACTCACGTCTATGCTAAAGACCTTTTTAAAAAGACAGGAAAAAACATTGACTGATTTTGTGCAAAGCATCCGTTTAAAAAAAGACAGTCAAGTGCCTAAGCAAACCTTTCTGCTCAAGATTGAAAAAATACTGATAATGATTGCAAAATTAATCTACTCTAGTATTTTTTCTGAGATTTTGAGCAAAATTCTGTAAAAATGCATTTGATCAAAGATTAGTGGTCATGTTTCCTTTAAAGAGAGAAACACACCTGAACTTAAAAAAATCTTCAATAATTTCATAATTATCTTACAGAAGAGGCAAAACACCAAGAAAGAGAGGCAAGAATGGAGGCAGTACCTCGGAAACAGTTGAACCAGTTGAGGTAATGTTGTACTTCATTAAGTAACATTCTGGATTGAGTAGCTGTGTGTCTCTTTTTCAAATTGGCCCCTGTTTCACTCTCCAATATTGTACATGTAATTTTGTTTTCCTCTGGCAAAATTTTCCCTCTCTAAATTAAAGGTCAAAACAATATTCAAACTGTAAGTTCAATCACTTTCTTATGTTATGCTTGTTATTTAACACTTTGGCTGCTAATGCCAACAGATTCTGCCATCAGTGCAGACAAACTTTCAATGCATATTTTAAAAAGTCTTTAAAGTGGGATGGATAATTAGGAAGTTTTGTCCTGTTTTAAAGATGGGGAAGTCTTTTTTATAGGATATTTAGTAAGGTCAGGGTTACAAATCATGAAATGTATATAGGAAGCACCAATTGCTTTTACTAATTTTCATCAGACTTTTAAGATTATTACCACAATATATCTCAGTGCCCTCAATGTTCGATTTTAGCACCGTTTGATTTGTGAGCCCTTTTAACATGTTTTAATTACTAAAGTGTCTATGATAAATCATGTGACTGATCAGGTGATAAACTCTATGCTATTTATAGACAAAAAATTACACTATGATACTTGCAAAAAACTGCATCATGGAATACGTACAGATATGATATTACTGCGTCAAATGTATAAATACTGAATCAAAACCACAGGAAACGTTCTCTAGAGAAAACACTGATTTCTGTTAATGTATATGTATTACAGGTATACTGTAGAGTACGACCTCTCGACAACCCTGGAGATGCTGTTTGTTTAACAGTTGTTAGTAACGATAAAGTCAAACTTCTTTCATCAGAGGTAAGAAAATTTTAATAATCACATTGGGTGCAGATTTTCCATAAATCTAGCATCATGTCAGGTAAATCACTGTTAAGGAATTTGCAAATTGGTCTTGGAATTTTAAGAATCAATCTTGAAAAATTAGCCCTATACCCCTCTCCAAAAAGCATGTATTTTCCCACTATTCCATAAAGAATTTGCTCACTTTTGTAAGAATCAACGGTATAAAGATTTAATATAGAAATGATATTGACTTTTAGATAAATTTTATAAAAAAAAACTACATTTCACTAGATATATAAGCTGTATACTGTTCAAGGAACTGTTTTGAAAAAAGCAAAATGGAATAAAAATAGAATTTAAGTGAGCAGACCAAACTAGTAGTAAATATATGTATTTTTTCATAATTTATTTTTTAAATTTATTTTTGGCCTTACCAGAGTTCAGATTTGATTTTTGCTTACTAATTAGATGTAGCATTGTCTGAAAAAACATAGTAAATGAACTTGTCTTTGAAGTTTCATTGTTTTGATTGTTAAATTATTTACTGTTTCAGAACTCACTAGCGTTTGCAAGAACGGGGCAGTTGAAGGAGATAGAGTATAAATTCCAGCATGTATTTGATGAGTATACGTCACAGAACGCTGTGTTTAATCATGTTGCCTATCCACTCATTGATGATCTGGTACATGGGAAAAATGGTAAGTGAAGTTTTGAGCCGTGTCACAACAAAACCAAAAAAATGGGTTTGGGACCAGCATGGATCCAGACCAGCCTACCCATCCGCGCAGTCTGATCAGGATCCATGCTGTGTGCTATCAGTTTCTCTATTTGTTATAGGGTTTGTAAGCAAACAGCATGGATCCTGATCAGACTGCGCGGATGCGCAGGCCGGTCTTGATCCATGCTGGTCGCAAACCCATTATGTTGGTTTTGTCATGGCGCGGCTCATTTGTTTATTGGGGACAAAGCTACAGTTTCATTTCTAATAAATGCTGTGTTGCATTTCTTATTATTATATAAATGCCCCTTTTGTAATAAACCCCCTAGTACCCCATCAACACCAGCTACACAGGGTCTTCATTATTACCAGATTTTCAATCCATATAATGGGCTAAAATCTGTGGTATTTTCAGTCTGTAACTTAAAATATCTCCTATTGACCATATTGGTTGTTTTCTTTGGCACATCTTTTTCTTCATATATAATGAAAACCCGGACCATAGGTAAGCCACCAATTAGGGCAGCAAACAAAAAGGATGTGGACAAGAAACGGTCTTATGAATCATAGCCAAAAATTTACAATTTAGTTAGGATAACCATAACAAATTATATGATTAAGAAACCATTAAGGCTATAAATGTAACAGTTCTGGGAGGAGAAATAAAGGGAAAATGGTGTAGGGGCAATAAATTGTGGGGGGTAGAACAAATTGAAAAGGAAATACATGTTGTAGGGAGTTACAATGATATATCATATAAACAGCACATTTTTGAGAAAAGCTGGCCATCGTCCTTTGAAAAATGAAGTTTATATGGACCAAGTTAAATGGACTTGCAGTTTATGATACCCAAGAGTAATGTTAATACACTGAATGTTGTAATTCTTGTTCTTTAACCGTTGGAATGATGTTTAATAGATTCAGTCATACAAAAAATGTAAATTTTTAAGAGATTAATGTTAAAATATCTCACAATTGAGAATTTATGTGAGTCCTTTATACAGTGATGCCTTTTCATTTCTGAATTGCAGCAATAAAAACACCAACCTAACAGCAATCGTGTTTAGCAAAAGTAATTTCATGTAAGTGTTAATTTGTGTTTTCAGGACTACTGTTCACATATGGTATCACCTCGTCGGGAAAGACGTACACAATGACAGGCACACCGCAGGATCAGGGTATATTACCACGATGTCTTGATGTTATATTTAACAGTGTAGGGGAATACCAGTGTAAAAAATATGTAAGTCAAGTATTGTTTATACAGATTTTTAGCCCAGAGAAAGTGATTAGCCTTTGCCACTAGTATAGAGCCAGCCCAGCCTGCACAACTTAACAGTCTAGACTTTATCCTGTTTGGAGCTCAATATAAATTTGTACTTTCATATTGCAAATAGGTTTGGTTTGAAATACACTGAACAAAAGTTCTAACCGATCACCCTGAGTTTTAGCTTATATATGAAAAAGAATAATACCAATAGATACGACTTTTATTTTATTTCGAAGAGAATGAACACATTGAGAATAATAAAATTACAACATTTTTCTATTTAAATAATACTTTATCGATATTTAAAAAAAATATTTTTATGAACAGCCACTCACCTGTCTGATAGAGGCTCCAGCATTCAACATTCCAACTGCTACAGCACGATCCTGCATCGACATTCGTGCCATGTTTTATGTTTTTTCACTTATAAAGTTAACAAGGATTTATGCAATGTAAAGTTTAATACTCACCACGATCTGCACGAATATTTCGTGCCAAAATGTGTAAACCGCGCCCTGTCTCCCGCTTGAGTGCATGGAACCGTATTAAATTATTTTTCTTTCCACAAATCTGTAGAAAATGACACAAAAATCACCTCTGCAAAATTTTATAAGGATCTTGTGACCCGTTATAAGTAATCAAAATTTAAAAAGTGATTGGTTAGAACTTTTTTTAAGTGTAGACTGTTCCAAGTTCAAAGTCAGGCAAATTTTATCAAAACAAATTCAGCAGGTTAAGGGATAAAATCCAACATAAAAAAATATAAATATGTTATATCAAGCAAACAGTTTTTTCCTGTCTTAATGATGTCTTGAATTCTATATTTATGTAGGTATTTAAGCCCGACAAGATGAATGGATTTGAGGTACAGTCGGAGGTTGATGCCATGATGGACAGACAGAAAAAAGACATTTTACCTGGTCTTACACCAAAAACACCTTCAACACCTAGAATAAAGTATGTCCCAATTTCATTTTGATAATAATAAGGTTACTAATCTAGGTCAGCAGGAGATCTTTGTAAGGTTTTCATAAAGAAAGATGGATAAATGTTTTCTTCCTCATTAAATGTCTACTTGTGATGAAATATCAACAAAGTAATAATAATCACAATTTATTTGATATTTTAGTAAATATTTTGTAAAATCATAAGAAAAGATTGATTAAATAGATTGTCAGAATTACAAATTATTTTATACTGAAATCCAAAGAAAATGTATTAATACAGCCTCTTTAATCCTTATAATGATGGATGTACAAGAAGGCCGGCTGAGCTCTGATTGTGGCATTAGCAAGTAATTGTATGTGCTAGCTCTTTATAAGGATTTGGGGAAAACGGTTTGTTAATTGCTTGCCTTTACCAGCTGGTCAATACTGTAAATAACCGACACCATTAAAATATACAAGTTCTGTATTTTGAATATCAGTAGGGATAAAGGTGAGTTTGGCAGAGACTGTGGCCGTGTAATTGACACAGGTCGTGTAAACGACGTTGATGAAGATAACACATATGCCGTGTTTGTGTCGTACATAGAAATCTACAACAATTATGTGTACGATCTTCTAGAAGAGTTACCATATGACCCAATTACAGGATACAAGTAAGTATATAGTTTTATTATGACAGGGTTGATTCTCAGCACTTTGGGAACTTGACTCGAATCCAAGAATTTGGAATTTTTTTACGATGTTTTAGACAAATTGGTAAAAAAAACTTGACAACATATTGTATACATCAAATATTCAATGCATCAAATTATACAAAAGAAATCAATTATTTGGTTAATTTAACTTTTGTATTTCATTCATAAGCAAATGTTACAATTTGGTATACAAGATTACAATTTATTTTCTATGGTACAGTCACAGTGCTGTTATAGGTAACAAAATGACAGATATTTTACTTATTTTTTTTGTTTCTTGGAATGAGTATTTTCTTGTGAAAATTTGGGAAGTTGAGATAAAAACATACTATTTGGCATTTGGAATATGACCTTATTATGGTCATCAAAATAAGCCAGAAAAAAACCCTGTATGATCAAGCCTCCATATGACTGAATTACATTAAAGAAGTGAAAGTATATGACTTGTTTATTTGAGCCGTGCCATGACGAAACCAACATAGTGCGTTTGCGACCAGCATGGATCCAGACCAGCCTGCGTATCCGCGCAGTTTGATCAGGATCCATGCTGTTCGCTATCAGTTCCTTAACTTGTAATAGGTTTGGTAAACGAACAGCATGGATCATGATCACACTGCGCAAATGCGCAGGCTGGTCTGGATCCATGCTGATCGCAAACCACTATGTTGGTTTTGTCATGACGCGGCTCATATATGAATTCAAGGTAGATCTCAGAAATGATATTTAAGTTACTGTTAAAGTATATGTAGATTTTTCATGTATTAATTTATCCATAAGTGGTCATTTGTGTATTTTATATAATGAATATTTGACATTTTAGCAGTTAGGAATATTTGCTATTGTAATAAGTGACTCAATAATATTACATCACTGTAATGTTATCAACTTCGTTCATCCATGGAATATTTTGTTTTTGGCTATATTTGTTAACATGTACAGAAACAGAACAAAAAATTCTTTTATCTCACACAATTTCAAACTGTGAGATATGACTTTTATCTCACTGAAAAATTACAATATACCACTGCAAAAAAGGCAGTCAATGATATTGTGTACTGCGAATTCACTTATATACGTGGGCATGAAATTTCGTGGTTTTATCAAATTGGGCATTTTCGTGGGTTCTTAAATTCGTGGATTTTCAATTTTTAAAAAAAAAAATAAAGTAAATAACCTAATGCAAAATAATCTTACACTTAATCGCTGCACAAAATTTACTTGCTGCATGTACATATCTTTACGTATCACACAGCGCTTGTCAATAAATTTAATCATTGCCTCTGGCCATTCATTACACAAAATTTGGCGGAAAAGCGCCGATGCATGTTTGAAATGTATAGAGCAGAGACATGGCAAGACATTTTTGTTGGGATACAATTTCGTCGGATCTTAAATTCGTGGATTGACCTACCCACGAAAAACCCAAAAATTTGTGCCCCACGAATAATAATGATTTTACAGTATTTGTTTTAATTTATAGACCTCCGCAGTCGAAGTTTCTGCGTACAGATGGCTGTGACAACATGTATGTGATGAGTTGTACGGAAGTTGAGATCAAAGCGCCAGAGGAAGCGTTTGAGGTGTTGTATAAAGGTAACGAGAATATATTACTATTCTAAACAATTGGGTCCGAGACTTGCGCTAAAAAGAAGGGATATGATAAGACTATCTTGACCTGAAACTTTGGTTTTATTATGGGATTTTTAATGCAAGGGTCACACAATATGCATAAACAATGACATTTTGCTACTGTACATTTATGTTACATAACGGTTGTATTTGTGCTTGTAATGCATACAATGCATAAAATATAGATAAATATCTTTACAAATATATAATGAATTGTGATAATAAATCTCTTTAACCAGGACAATGTCAAATATCTCCAATGGACTTGTCAATTGTTCAATCTAGACAAAACCATTGCATGATTGGTCATTTTTAGGGAAACTTTCAATGCACTGTTCCCTTTGTGAACATCTGGATTATAGTATTTGCATGCAACTTCATTGATGATTTACTACATTTATAATATTTACTTCATACTTCTCACATATTTCCTAAAAGAATCATAGTATTTAGGTCATTGACCTTTTGAAAACATAGAAATCAAAGTTCACACTATAGTGCATTGTCTCTAATATTACAGGACAGAAAAGACGGAAAGTGGCGCACACAGCGCTGAATGCGGAGTCCAGTAGAAGTCACAGTATATTCAACATTAGACTGGTACAAGCTCCGCTAGATCCTTGTGGTCAGGAAGTTCTTCAGGTATGCCTCATCTGCCTCGGGCTCAATTCATCATCTTTAGACAGGTCCAGGACCAATTCCCAATTTTAATTCACTTTGCCTTAGGTCAAGGACGCATTTCAAAGTCCTATTTTTCCTGAATATTTTTCAACGTTTCTAGGGATTTTGCATTCTTACCTGTGAAGAAGCTATTAAGCTAGCTCACAGAAGATCATAGGATCTACTTGGGTTGCTGCTTTGTTTCTAAAATAATTCAGAGGATATGTAAGGTCTTCCTTTACCAGTAAAGCTGGACTGTAGCCATATGTTAGTGAGAGTGAAAGAAATTGATATTTTAAATAAAATTATTGCAAACTATACAGTCGGTGTTTAAATGACTATAATCAGAGGCCAAGTATAGAAAAATTTATTGTTTTTAGCTCAACTATTCATTATGATATTATCTAACAATAGTACATATCTGCGAATCATTTTCATAAAATGCAAGTAGAGAGCACCTTTTTGTACCTTTTAGGACAATGAAAAGATCATTGTGAGTCAACTATCTCTCGTAGATCTGGCTGGTAGTGAGCGAGTAAACCGGACAAACAACAAGGGGGACCGGCTGAAAGAAGCAGGTACGCATAACTAAATTATATAATTGTCTTGACTGAGTAACATTTTGAGTTTTAGCTACAATAACAATAGACCTATGTCACTAGTATACTGTATAGTAAGGTCATCCTTGAAGTCTGACCAGACTGTACAGTAGAACTTCATAAGTCAAAGTTGAAGGGACTTGCGTTTCATTTTAATGACAAAATTCCAAATCACTGACATTAATAGAAGGTGTGAGAAAGTCTGGATCATTTGTGTAAAATTTATTAATGGACTTTGATTTATTTATGATAAACATGATAAAATGTTCTCGGATTCTTTACGGTCCAGGGAAAAACTCTTCTCATATAATGTAGGTTTTTGTAAAGAAATTATACATGTAGTTGTAATATTTTAATGAGACACCTGCATCGGCACATGGAGGAAATCGACTAATCAAAGTTTGACACATAGATGTTCTACTGTAATATTGGTAGCTACTCAGTATATATATCACACTGTAAGGTTTTAAAGGATGATACACTCAAAAGTTTATGTCTTTACTCTTTGAAACAATATGTATCAATGCATGCTATATAAATATTTAACTTGCAGTGTAAAATATTATTTGACAATGTGCTCGAAGCTGATTGCCTTAATTCAAACCCTTACTTTTAATATTGTATGACAATGCACTCAGAGTTAATGATTGTATTTGTTCACAGTTTGATACAACCTTACTTAGTAATCCTTTTCTAGAGAAACAAGTGAAATTGTGAAAAGTGTACACTTTTCAGTAGCTTTATAGAAATGTTGGTCACCTGGGGGTTTGCTTGTGCATCTATTCAGTACTTATAGTTATTGCCCTTAACTTAGTAAAAAAATATTTTTACTGTTATCAAAAAATAAATGTTCACACAGTGAAATGTCCTGTTATTTTAAAAGAACTTATTTCTGGAATGTAGGAAATATAAACCAGACACTGATGTCACTACGAACATGTCTGGAGATGCTTAGGGAGAACCAGATGACCGGTGGAAACAAAATGGTGCCGTACCGCGACTCCAAACTTACACATCTGTTCAAGAACTACTTTGATGGGGATGGTCGTGTCAGGATGGTTGTGTGCGTGAACCCAAAAGCAGAGGAATTTGATGAAACTGTTGTAAGTATTTTAACCTTTGACCTACTGTAAATTCACATAATTCCGTGGATGTGAAATCTTGTAGTTTTGTCACAAAGTAAATTTTCGTGGTTACTTTAATTTGTAGACTGTTTATCTTACCAAAAGGTAAAATGTAAATAATGTGATGCAAAATAATCTTAAAGCAGACAAAAAATTTGTTTGATCTTAAAGTGGTAGATTGACACATCCAAGAAAACCACAAATTTAGTGCCCAACAAATAATTATGATTTTGCAGTACCTAAAGGATGTTAACATCAAGTTAAAATTCATTTATTTTAGCATGGTTCAACTTCATGGTTCAACTTATTGAAATAGCTTTCAAGTACTTGTTGGCACTTACTGTCACTATAACTATTGAAGTATAGTGTAAAATACTAAATGAGGTAAATTGGTTGGTACAGGTTACTGACACTGCTCAGGCCAGAAATAATGCACAGAAGGGTGACTAAAGTGTTCCTCCATAAGTTTGTTACATGATTGTATTAGTTAGGTAAACATTCTTTAAACTACCATGATGTCCCCCTGTGGCTGAGTGGTTTCCTTTAATGAATGAGGCATAAGAACTGCAGCCACCATCTATCCCTGCGTGATCGTAAGAGGCGACTACATGGGTTTGATTAACTGAAGTCTACTCATCTCTTAGCTCCTGGAGATTAGGTGATTTTGACCCCTTGTGTTGCTTTGAAATTTGTTACACCTAAGGTTAGCCAAAATCAACATTCCTGTTTTGGCTCTTTTTGACCTAAACTGTGTTGGTGCACCAAAGAACCAAACAAACAAACAACCTTGATAATAGAATTTTAATAAGAAAATTTTTTATAGTTTAATAACAGTGCAAAAAGTGAAAACTTGTGTCAGGGAAAATAGAGGATAACAAAGAAACAAAGAATTTCAAAGTTATATACAACACCATTATCATTTAAAATTTCAAAGAGACATGCCCGTCTCTTATAGCACATCTCGGACTTTTGGACTAGTTGAGGGGAATTCTGTGAGTAATAGGGTGAAGTATAATATTTTAGAAAGAGGAATAAGTCACAAAAAAGGGCACTGATTGTGATATATTTATTCTTGTTTTTCAGCATGTTATGAAGTTTGCCGAGATGTCACAAGAGGTCATGGTTCAGAGGTCACAGCAGGTGAAGTTTGACCTTGGATTGACCCCAGGTCGTAGACGTCTGGGAGAAAAATTACGCGAAGAGCGGTTAAGAGAGGAGGCTGAGAGAGAAATTAAACAAGAATGTGAGTTGATTATTCATTAGTTTAGATTTTTTGGCATATAATCATTTATGATTAAAGTTGCCAGGTTAAAGTGGTGAATATAGATAATGGTTATTAAGAGTTTTCTTCATTTGTTTGTTTTCTTACAGACTTTTCCAGTTTTCAACAGTGAAAAATGTTAACACCACATTTTGCTTTTCATTTCTAGGTCAACTGCTAACAAACAGTATCATAAGCAAAACTATATGTTCTTTCGTGTTAATCTGGTCAACCAGTAAATATGTATAAAATTGGAAGTTACAAACATGCAACTCAGTCAAATAATGTACATGTATTTACTTTGTGTTAACAGATAATTGTGTTTTAAAGATGTGTTTATTGTGAAATAAAATCTAAATAATTTTTATTTTATTTTTTTTTTGACAGTGATGCCAGTACCTTCACCTAGTCTTATTTATACATTAGGACCAGACTTCCCTAACCTTGAGGTAAGCTCAGAATTTATCATTATCAGATATGTTTACCTGATTAAAAGACTTAAAGAATGAGCACTGAACATGCAGAAATGTGTCATTATACCCCCAAAAACGAAGTTTGGGGGTATATAGGAGTCACCCTGTGGTCGGTCGGTCCAGACGTCCGTTGCATTTCCCTTGTCCGGAGCATAACTTGAAGACTAATGATTGGAATTTAATATTACTACACACAGTGGTCAAGCACATTGAGAGGAAGTGCAGTGCACAAGAACCATAACTCTATCCTGACTAATTACAGAGTTATTGCCTTTTGTTACTTTTCCATGTCCGGGGCATAACTTAGGGGTGTCATCGATTCAATCGATATCGGTGTATCAACGATCTTTGTTATCCAATTCGATATCGATTCCATTTTTTAAATATCGAATGCACATATATTTCTAGCTAAAGAGACTTCAGCGAACAGGTTTTATAGAACTGATAGACCTGTTTACTGTCGCAAAACGTCAAAATAAAAGCGACATATAAAGTTATGGAAGCCAGAAACATTTTTTTTCTAAAATGAAAACGGAAATCACAAAGTTACTCCAAGTGTCTCTAACGAATGCTGCTTAATTTCGTTGTAATCTCGCACGTCTGCTAAGTGGATGTCAAGATCCCTCAATTCAGATTTTAAAAAATGGGAAAATGCAAAAAAATTTGTCAGTGTTTCTTTGTAAAAATTATGATTACAAAATGTTAAACTTTAATAAATATTCAGGTTCTAAACACTATAATTTGCCAATTAAACTCGGGTTAATTGAAACGGCAGGATGGGATTTAGCATGATAGTAACTACGTAATAGCAACAACAACAACAAAAGTAAAATGGAAAAGGCTTTAAAACTTTATAGTTACTAGTCATTAGTTTTCATTTATAGCTATATGATAAAAAAGAAACAAATTATTCGGTTTTCATAGTTTTATCTTTTTTGCATTTGTCTTAATATAACTGCCTTGTGTCAGTGTCCTTAGGAAACATTAATTTAGAAAGACTTGAAAGCTAAATTTAGCCTGGCAATCGATATATCGCTGTATCGCCGATAATTCATTACCGATATATCGATACAAAAAATCCTTATCGATGACACACCTCTAGCATAACTTGAAAACTACTGGTTGGAATTCAAAACAACTTCATACAATTGTCAAACACAATAAGGGGAAGTGCAGTGCACAAGAACCATAACTCTATCTAAAGTAATTACAGAGTTATTGCCCTTTGTTACTTTTCCATTCCTTTCTTTTGTCCGGACCATAACTTGAAGACTAATGGTTGGAATTCAATATAACGTACATACAATGGTCAAGCACATTTGAGAGAAGTGCAGTGCACAAAGAACCATAACTCTATCTTGACTAATTACAGAGTTATTGCCCTTTGTTTCTTTTTCCTTGTCCGGGGCATAAACTTGAAAACTACTGGTTTGGAATTCAAAACAACTTCATACAATTGTCAAACACAATAAGGGGAAGTGCAGATGCACAAGAACCATAACTCTATCTAAAGTAATTAACAGAGTTATTGCCCTTTGTTACTTTTCCATTCCTTTTCTTTTGTCCGGACATAACTTGAAGACTAATGGTAAATTTATTATAACTTAATACAATGGTCAAGCACATTGAGAGGAATGCAGTGCACAAGAATCATAACTCCATCTTGACTAATTAAAGAGTTATTGCCCTTTGTTACTTTTTCCTTGTCCAGAGCATAATTTGAAAACTACTGTTTTGAAATTCAATACAACTTCATACAGTTGTCAGGACATTAAAATAGGAAAGTGCAGTGCACAAGAGCCATAACTCCATTTTGACAAAAATACAGAGTTACTTACCCTTTTGATACTTTTTCCTTGTCCAGAGCATAACTTTAAAACGTACTGGTTGGAATTCAAAACAACCTCATACAATGGTCAAGCACAATAAGAGGAAGTGCAGTGCACAAAGAACTATAACTCCATCTTCAGATATTTATAGAGTTATTGCCCTTTGTTCTTTTTCCTTGTTTTATCTGGACTTATTACAGAGTAATTCAAATAAAACCACATTGAAAGGAAATGCAGCATACAAGAACCGACAACTATCTTAATTGCCCACTAACCATAACTCTAAATTTCAAAATTCTTTTACAAAGGTATTCTGTTACTAAGTAAACATCCTCATTTCCCTGAACGCAGTCTTTTGGGGGTATTAATCACATTTAGTGATAGTTCTAGTTAAGGTAAAAAAAAAGCAAGTAAAGTAGTAAATACATATTAACTATTAATATACCAATTACCAACAGAATAAAGAAAGCAAAAAATACTAGTAGTTCACCTATGTTGCAAATAAGTAATTTTTGGAAACTGTAAAACTTTGCCCAAAATAAATGTTTTTTGAGAAATGATAGCATTTTTTAGGCATAATGGACCTTTAAATTATCATCTATCACTGTTGCAGATATTAATATAATTTTCAGTTGGTAGATTACAGTGATGAGGAAACATTGAGAAGGTTGATACAATGCCTGTGTGAACGTGACACAAAAAGACAAACTTTACTAATTGACTTTGAAGCCAAAGGTATGTTCTGTATATTGCTTTCTTCTATGGGATTATATCACATGTTTAGTTTCCGTAAGGGCCAATTCAATATTAAATTGCTGAATTTCCTGAATGGACTTGTCCAACTTTTATTTTGGCTCTGTCCATTACCAATTTTTAGGGATGCCATACTTAAAATTTAGGACTTTGGTTATCCCAAAAGTTTACAGCTTGGCCCTGACTGCATGGATATGAAGTTTAATCTAGCTGTTTGCGAATGCTTTAAGTTGTTTACAAGATTAGTGTATTATAGAGGCTGAAGAAGACTTGAATTTCATTAGCGTTTCCTTGTTTGTTTGCTTTCCTGCTGACTTTAATGAATGAAAAAAAAAATACTCAATGTTTTCTGGTTTGAAATAGACTTCCTTAAGAACATTAGGGGGGGGAGGAGGGCCATTGGGGACATTGTTTGCAAGCATAATAGATTTTCCTGTTTTAAGTAGGGATGGCAACGAGTAACTGTTTAACCGAGTACTCTATCGAACGTCCGAATATCGGTTAACGAAATTGATATTCGATTACTCAGAAAAAATATTTATAATTTATATTTTTTAAACTATTTAGAAAGATTGGTGGTGTCAATTAGTTCGGAGATTTCGGGAGATATGCATGTATCTTAATAAATACCTGTTCCCAATGCAATCAAAACATCCTTGCAGAGGTGCGAAAATGATATCATAAATTTAACGAGGCGAATCAACAGTTTGACAACGCGCACCTGTGTCGGCTTATGTAATCCAGATTTTATGATATTCAATTACCCCCTTTAATTTTAAAATTGTGTAACAGTTTGTAGCGGAAGTAACTGTTTTGAAAACAACAAAGGGCCGATTGGCTATTAAAATGAAAGAATAAAGGTAACAAGTATTTAGAACCCCTTTTAAAATTTTTCTTGCCGCCGATCAGATCTATATTATTTAAAGACGAAAAATATATATGAACTGTGATAATCATGTTTTAAACTTGATATTGCATTTAATTAAAAACGTTGTAAATTTAAAGTTTTTAAAATTTTAAATTTTAATTAAATTTTGTTTCCATGAAGTCCTATTTACACTAACAGAATTTCTATAAATTTTAAATAAAAAAACGAAAGTACCCATGGGAGGGTGTTAAATATTTGAGAAAAAAATTTTGGAAGATAAATAAAAAATCAAACCCGGGGGGGGGGGGCAAAAACCCCGAGTACTCAAATGGAAAAATGCCCGTTAACCAAAAGTAGGAATTTTTGGGAAATTTCGTTGCCATCCTATTTTTAACTATTTTTTGTCATGTATTTTTAAAAAAAATTAAATTATAGTGAAGCAGATTTCTTTTTTTCTCAAATTTTAAAGGGAAAATTTTTTAAAGAAATTAATCTCTAAAAACCTTTGAAAGAGTTTTAACGTTAAAGGGAAAAAAACGGGGAAAGCTGGAGTCAGTCTCAAACAAAAACATGGAAGTTTGCGTGCAAATTGGGAATCTAAATGTCGAGGTCTCGAGCAAGAAAAGGTCAACTCCTTACAGTCATTCAGTTTGAAACGTGTGACGCGATTAAGACGTGAAATTTGAGCCAAAGGTAATACTAAGCATCAGATTGGTTTGATTTTTAATATTTAGAGATACGAAGTTTTCTCTTGCAAAAATAGTTTTTCCTTAGTTTTTTACCTTTGTACAATTTGTATTAAGAAATCTTAATAGTTTGGGCTGGAACATTTTTCTCTGCAAATATTTTGATTCTAAGGCTGTTTAAATTCGCCAATTTTTTTGGGGAATGGCACAAACAATATTTTGGAAAATGGGGAGAAAAAGCAGCATAAGAAAGTCCAAAATGGGAAAAAAAAAATCGGGCTTTTATTTTTTGGCTTTTAAAAATGCCTCATTTTTCAAGGAATAACTACATACAAGAAGAAAAAGGCCAGTTATTTAATTGTGTGTTTTTTTGTTTTTTTTTGCACATGCCTAAAACACATTGGACAAAAACAAAACAAATTAAATAGCTAGTTTTAAGCTGTTTTGAGAACTACTTGTTGTAAGGTCTGTTGTGAACCGCTGTGTCAGAGATTGAATGTCAGCTTTGTATTTCCTGATCTTTGATCAGAAAATACAAAAATAAAAGGGGACAAGTTCTTGCCTTTATAAAGGTGCGAAATGTTTAAATTTGTGAATGATTTCCAATCTGAGTGTTTTCAACTGTTGTTTCGACCATTACAGCCATTTCATTGTTGTCTGTTTTGTTTAGATTTATAATAAATAAATATATTAGACACTGTACATATTGGGCCATTTCGAATCTTGCGTCATGATACGATGTTATATTATTACAGTTGTACGATAAGAGCATGAAGATCAGACAAGAACAAACGGAGAAAGAAAGATTGAAGGACAACTTTAAACAAAGATTAGAGATGAATAATATACATTGGGAAGAAAACTTGGTAAATTATTGTTCTTTTGTTTTAATTTTTTGGGGTGACTTAAAGATATCGAGGACCGACAAATGTAGGTTTTTCTGTTTCCAATAGTGCGGGCAACACAATGGTCTTATTATCAATACATTTAGTAAGTTGTTGCTAAAAAAGTTTGTCTGTACCCGGGATTAGATTGGGGGAGTGGAGGAATGGAGATCTGCCGAGTTCTTGAGTATCTCTATAAAGTTCTCGTGCAGTTATGAACATTTGATTATGATAGCAAAATTTAAGATTTTTTCGGTTCATAGGTTTTTTATAATGAAAAAAGATGTTATCTAAATTTTGAAGGTAAGTAATGGTTTTCCTTGATACAGGAGTATTGTGACTTTGATTGGATTGTAATGTATTACAAATGAAAGTTTGCTACTGCCTGCTTACTTTCCAAACACTACTTGAGGATTGAATCTTGTCAAGGTCTTTAAAACTTTTTCTCATGATAAAGGCAAAAAGAATTTTAATGCAAGGTGTGGCTTATTCTAACATTCAGTTTTCTTTCAAATACGGTTATGCCTGGTTGAGTTTGAAATGTTTAAAGGGGTGTTCGTGGCTGAGGTTACTGTTAAAAAAAAAATGTTTATAAAATGTAGAAGCCCCAGGTGTTTTCCATCACCTAAAGTTGAAAGTTGTCATCATTTAACCAAACAATAATATGTTTGAATATGAATGAAAATTTTCAATGTTAACACTTAATGCAGGATTTTCAGATCTTAATATAATAGTGTAACAGGTTTTGCTCATTTAAGGATTTTTTTAAATTTTCTAACATTTGAATCATTTGTAGGATAAGGAAAGAAGGAAAATTGAGCGAGAAATGGGGATGGCATTGGAGGAGAAGGAGAAAAAGTTCAGTATGATGAAAGAAGTGTTGGACAGTGATACCCCGGTAGCTAAACCACGTACGTTCAAAACCCCAGGAACCACGATAAAGACTAGGACTTACACAACACCAGGTAAACTTAGAAAATTTACATTTTTCCAGGCTATTGTTTTACTCTCAAGCGCTTAGAATAGTCAGTTGCGCCTTCCCACAGACAGCTCTTGTTAATGATCCAGAAATTACTATCATTTTCAGGAGTGATACAGAGTGCCAGGTCCGAGTCTGACGTGTCATCTATTGGTGTACCTGCCCCGAGGACGAGAACCACATCAGCCATACCGTCAGTTCGACCCTGGGGCTATGGTGGTAACAACAAACGCCCAGCTCCAAAGACCCCATCAGTTACACCAAGAAGTGTAAGTTTTCTGTTAAGAAAATTACAAACATGAGAAATTATTTATACAATTTGTACAAGCTGCAAATAAATATTAAAAAAAGAAGAAATTTTTATGATTTAAATTGAAATATTTTTCAATTTTTTTTACAAAAAAAAACTTATTCGTTTGGCTTATTTTTGACTTTGTAAAATATCAGCCAGTCTTGGGTTTCACAACAGCTAGTAGTCTTACAAGAATTCATTTCATAGTGCATGAACATTTTAAAACTTATTTTTCTTGCCTCGTTACCTCTGTTAACAGATTCCCTCTAGCTAGATATTTGGGTATGTACTGGCAGCCAGTGTAAGAGTCTTATAAAATTTGATAGGTGCCCAAATTTGACAATTTATTATTTATATTTACACTATTATTCGAGAATGTTGTACTTTGTTTATTTCAGATACCTCAGTATAATTTAAGACATAGAAGATCCAAATCTAACTCCGAGACATGGCTGGACCATAAACCACCAGGACATTTAGATCTCGGTAAATAAATTTTATCTTGTTTATCACAAGGGGATGGTTAGAGTTAGGTGATACTTACTTCACTTACTTACTTGTTTCACAACTCAATCTGTTTAATATATATCACCATCTTTCAATTCTGTCTTGTCCAATTGTTAATCCAGGGCTTTCATTATCAAAGAGCTTAAAAGCACAATATGCTTCAAAAATAAATATTTTTTTTAATTCTTTGGAAAGGTCAAATATGTGTTCAATAATATAATAGCATGTTAGATTTAAACAACTGAAGAATGCAGAGCTAAATGTGCAGTTATATACAAAGTAAGATTTTCACTTCCATACAAAATAACCACTTAAAAATGTAATGTTTAATCAAGACACAAAAATAATTTCCAAACTAAGGGTAAAGGTCATGTTTCCATTTTCTAAAATAATAGGGGAGAGGATGGGGTTGAAAAACATGTTATATATCTTCTATTCATGTTTACAGACACTGTGTTACAACCAACATTGAAGAAGAAGAAGTCTGTAAGTAAACTCGAGTCTAAGGATACGAAAGTGGCCTCTAAATATATGTTGACAGATCAAGGTTTGAATTCTGATGGCGAGTTTCAAACCAGATATTTCAAGGTAAGTGTCTCACTCTGTTTAACTTTCTGTTTTAGTTATAAATTGGTTAAAAGCTTCTACTTGCCATACATTGAAATAAACTTTGAATATTTCAAAAAAAGTTTCATCAAGTTTTTAGCTCACCTGTCACAAAGTGACAGGGTGAGCTTTTGTGATCGCTTTTAGTCCAGCGTCCGTCCGTCCAGCGTCCATCCGTCGTCCGTAAACTTTTACTTTAAATGACATCTCCTCATAAACCACTAAGCCAATTTCATCCAAACTTCACAGGAATGTTCCTTTGGTGGTCACCTTTAAAATTGTTCAAAGAATTTAATTCCATGCAGAACTGGTTGCCATGGCAACCGAAAGAAAAAACTTTAAATATCTTCTTTTAAAAAATCATAAGATTTTGAACTTAGATATTTGGCATGAAACATCTTCTAGTGAGTGTCTACCAAGTTTGTTCAAATAAAAGCCCTGGGGTCAAAATTGGCCCCGCCCCAGGGGGTCATTGATTTTCCCTATATGCATATAGTAAAAACTTAAAAAATCTTCTTTTAAAGAACCAAAAGAGTTAGAGCTAAGATATTTAGCATAAAACATGTTCTAATAAGTGTCTACCAAGTTTGTTCAAATAAAAGCCCTGGGGTCAAAATTGGCCCTGCCTGGGGGGTCATTGATTTTCCCTATATGCATATAGTAAAAACTTAAAAATCTTCTTTTGAAGAACCCAAAGAGCTAGAGCTAAGATATTTAGCATCAAACATGTTCTAATGGGTGTCTACCAAGTTTGTTCAAATAACAGCCCTGGGGTCAAAATTGGCCCCGCCCTGGGGGGTCATTGATTTTCCCTATATGCATATAGTAAAAAACTTAAAAAATCTTCTTTTAAAGAACTCAAAGAACTGTGGCTAAGATATTGAGAATCAAACATGTTCTAATAGGTGTCTACCAAGTTTGTTCAAATAAAAGTCCTGGGGTCAAAATTGGCCCCGCCTCAGGAGGTCATTGATTTTCCCTATATGCATATAGTAAAAACTTATAAAATCTTCTTTTAAAGAACCAAAAGAGTTAGAGCTAAGATATTTAGCATGAAACATGTTCTAATGAGTGTCTACCAAGTTTGTTCAAATAAAAGCCCTGGGGTCAAAATTGGTCCCGTCCCGGGGGTCATTGATTTTCCCTATATGCATATAGTAAACACTTTAAAAAATCTTCTTTTAAAGAACCCAAAGAGCTAGAGTTAAGATATTTAGCATCAAACATGTGCGCTAATGGGTGTCTACCAAGTTTGTTCAAATAAAAGCCCTGGGGTCAAGATTGGCCCCGCCCTGGGGGGTCATTGATTTTCCCTATATGCATATAGTAAAAACTTAAAAAATCTTCTTTTAAAGAACTCAAAGAGCTATGGCTAAGATAATGAGCATCAAACATGTTCTAATAGGTGTCTACCAAGTTTGTTCAAATAAAAGCCGTGGAGTCAAAATTGGCCCCGCCCTGGGGGGTCATTGATTTTCCCTATATGCATATAGTAAAAACTTAAAAAATCTTCTTTTAAAGAACTCAAAGAGCTATGGCTAAGATATTGAGCATCAAACATGTTCTAATAGGTGTATACCAAGTTTGTTCAAATAAAAGCCCTGGGGTCAAAATTGGACCCGCCCCAGGGGGTCATTGATTTTTTCCTACATGCATATAGTAAAAACTTAAAAAATCTTCTTTTAAAGAACCAAAAGAGTTAGAGCTAAGATATTTAGCATAAAACATGTTCTAATAAGTGTCTACCAAGTTTGTTCAAATAAAAGCCCTGGGGTCAAAATTGGCCCTGCCTGGGGGGTCATTGATTTTCCCTATATGCATATTGTAAAAACTTGAAAAATCTTCTTTTAAAGAACTCAAAGAGCTATGGCTAAGATATTTAGCATCAAACATGTTCTAATAGGTGTCTACCAAGTTTGTTCAAATAAAAGCCCTGGGGTCAAAATTCGCAACGCCCCGGGGGTCATTGATTTTCCTTATATGTGTATAGTAAAAACTTAAAAAATCTTCTTTGAAAAAACCCAGATAGCTTCAGTTAAGATATTAAGTATGAAACATCTTTTAGTGAGTGTCTACAAAGTTTGTTCAAATAAAAGACATGGGGTCAAAATTGGCCCCGCCCCGGGGGTCATTGATTTTCTTTATATGTGTATAGCAAAAACTTAAAATCTTCTTTGAAAAAACCCAAACAGCTAGAGTTTAGATATTAAGCAAGAAACATCTTCTAGTAAGTGTCTACAAAGTTTGTTCAAATAAAAGCCCATGGGTCAAAACTGGCCCGGCCCCAGGGGTGTCATTGTTTTTAACTATATGTGTATAGTAAAAACTTAAAAAAAATCTTCTTTTAAAAAGCCCAATGAGCTAGAGCTTAGATGTTTAGCATGAAACATCTTCTTATGGGTGTCTACCAAGTTTGTGCAAATAAAAGCCCTTGGGTTAAATTGGCCCTGCAACGTTGGGTGGGGGAGGCCTATATACAGGTGAGCGACCTCAGGGCCATCATGGCCCTCTTGTTATACTATAAAGGTCATATCTGGAGACAGTGTTAATGATAGTGATGGTAGCAAAGTGAAAAAAATGAGAGAGATAACACTTATTTCTTCCGACCAAATACAGAGATTATTGCACGAGACCGGGAGAAATTGGTTTAAAATTGTATAGATATATGAAATTGTATGGATATTTGATATTTAACTGAATCTTGAATGTCAATGATGTATCAACATTGCCTTGTTTAATGTTGGCCCTAAGCAGAAGGAATTAATCCCAGACAAAACAATTATTTGCTATTTTAATAGGTAAAATGATGGTGACATACTTTACAAACATTATTACAGTACATAATACTTGGGGTATGAATTTTCAGATAAACAACTACAGAATATAACTTTACACCTTTCAAAAGGACATTTAAAGTGTTGTTTGTAGAAATGTTGATTATTTTTTAGCTTCGACATATATTTTGTTTAAACATATTTATTTAAACTTGATTGCAAAACAAGTTCTTGCAACTTATATTAATCACTTTCGAGTCTGTTTCCTGGAACCAACCACAACTGGTAACAAATGAAGAATCATGGTCGTGACCCAAGTAGGGCTCTAACCCATAATCTCTGTGTTGAGAGGCAGACACCTTAACCACTAGGCCACCACTCCCTTAAAGTTCTCAAGAATGAAAGTTGTACAGCTTTAAGTTAACTGTCACCCTGTATCTTAAGTAAGGATTCATTAATAAATATTGTAGCTGCCTTATGACCTGAACAGTTTTGTAGCAACTGTAAATATACTTACTCCAGATTTAAGAATATTTTGCATTTTTGCCAGCTAATCTGAAGGAACAAACAAACTTTTACAGTTATAAACCCATTACAGCTTGACTAATCTTGTGACAGGCAGTGCACCGTGTAGCTATAACGGTAAAAAATGATTAGCTGCGAAAAAACAACATTTGCCGAGTTTCAAATAACATCTATTCACAGGATCAAAAAAGAATATACAGCAAAAACTGTAATGATTCATTGTTGATTTTAGGGAGATGTGATACCTACCTCTGGGGGCGGAGCTTCTGTCATCTTTAACGATGTAGAAATCCACAAACAGAAGGAGCCTGGGACCAGGAAGAGACGAAGCTCGTGCCCACAGCCGACAGATTTTGACGGTGAGTGGACCGATCCTGAGGAGAGATGTGCAATTGCGATAGAAGGTCACAGAAGAAAGTAAGTATCTTATTTAATCTTTGTTTATGATTTTGAGTGTTGTGAAAATTTTTCTTTTGTATATATATATTTGTGTACTTAAAAAGAGCATAGGTTTTCTCTTTAAACTGAACTTGTATCTTTAGACTCATTACTTTATACCAGATGGGTGCATTTGTGGCTGAGTGGTTAAAGTTGTTACTTCAATTCACTTGCCCCTCAAGACTGTGGGTCAGAATCCTATGAGGAAGCTAACTAGCTAGCTTACAGAACATGGATGGTTCTACTCTAAGACCTGCTTGTACCTAAAATAATACATGGAGGAGCACCAGAGGTCTTCCTCCACCAGTATAGCTGGAATGTCGCCATATGACCTTTACAATGTAAATGCTCTGTAATAAGCCACCAAACAAGAAAAACCTGCCACTGACCAACATGCATTACTCTAATACAGAATTTTTAAAAAGTAACAGCCTTTATTGCTCTGGATAGACTCTGATGAATTGAACATTGTTTTCCATGAGGCACAGATATAACTCAAATGTGAGACAAATACGAGTCAGATGCACTTATAACACGAAAACATCAACTTTACTCATTTAAAGGTTCAAAATAACCAATACCTTTGCATCTTTTCATAGATTTTTAATTTTTGATAATGTAAATGTGGTTAAAATAAAAATTGGACTTAGATAATACATTATTTTTTGTTTATTACAAACAAATATTCACATATTTCACTAGGAGAAGTAAACAGTCGCCAGAACTTATTTCAGTTGTTTAGACAACATGTAGGTAACTAGATAATATCAGGGAGAAATCATAGAAACATAAATCATTTGTACCATTATAGCAAATATGTAACACCATGTTTACCCAAAGAGCTTCCCCCCTCTTTTCCCCCCCCCCCCCAAAAAAAAAAGACAAAAAAATCATAGATACCTTATATATACCCATTATAGCAAATATGTAACACCATGTTTACCCAAAGAGCTTCCCCCTCCTCCCCCCACAAAAAAAGATAAAAAAATCATAGATACCTTATATCATTTATACCATTATAGCAAATATGTAACACCATGTTTACCCAAAGAGCTTCCCCCTCCCCCCCCCCCCCCCCCCCCCCCCCCCCCCAAAAAAAAAGAGAGAAAAAAGAAATCCATGCTTAAAACTGAAGGGATAGAATTCTTATCATGTGTATGTATTATATCTTAAAGCTATTTACTAAAGGTTGGTGGTTTAAATTTTAAGTCGGGTGCTTATAAAAAAAAGGATGTTTTGGTATCCGAGGTATTTCTCTGCCAGTAAAGCTGGAAAGTCGTCATATGATTATTAGTAATGGTGTGATTTAATATCCATCTAAAAACCAAACTCAAACAAAGAAACCAACACAATTTCATATTATTTCTCTCTTTATGAAATATTTTTTGGGTGTTTCACAAAGAAATAAATTCTAGATTTAATCTTTTTAAAAGTTCTATCCAACAAGTTGCTTTGCTTTAGCAATTAGAATACACACATGTATTTGCAGGAACAGAGAAATTCGGTCCACATTGTCCAGTTTACTGCACATTATTATATTATTAATGTATATGCTAAATTGCCATTATGATAGTCAATCTTTTGAAATATAAGATTAATTTTATCTCAGCTTGACAGTTTTGAAAAAATGAGCATAATGTCACTTTAACTTCCAATCTGACCAACATTGTCAGTTTTGTGAATTGAGAAGCATATTGGTGTCAAATTAAAAAACATAGCTTACATCTGCTGTCTAACATACAACTGACAACATGCAGAAAATTCTAGTTTTTCTATATGGAGGAAATTTTAATATGTAAATAGAGAAAACTTTTAAAAAACATTTTTAGCAGTTCTGGCTGTAATAAACTTTTTTCATCCATTCAAAACTATATGAGAGATCAGCATGACACATGTAGGTAGATAGATATCATTTGGTAGAAATGCAGTACAAATAACCATAACCCTATCTTGCTTAATTTTGGAGTTATTGCCCTTTGCGCATTTGTACACTTTGAACTTTGTCCCAGACATAACTCTAAAACAATAAGACATATCATCACGAAACTTTGTAGGTAGAAAAATGTGCATTGTCATTGTAATGAAAAAAGTCTTGTCCAAATCACATTATTTTACTTTATAATACATTTTCAAAATTTCATGAATCTGGAGGTATCCTGCTTTAAGCATTCTCTACTGTATATTTTCTGTTCACCATGGCCTTGAGTTGCAAGAGAATATTTTATAAGAAGAATGTAATTGGTTAAGGCTGCAAATTAGTGCCTGCATATTTTTTTATTTAACATGGGAAATTTGTTCATAATCATACCCTTTGGGGAAAGCTTGTTTCCATTACACCCATTTTATCATCCATATATCAGATTTTATATTTATATAGCTTATTTTTACATAATATTTATAGTTTAGCAGCTTTATTTATTTATGTATATACACTTTTTAACATTTTTAGCTCGACCATTCGAGCAATAAGAATAGCTATTGTACTCAGTCATGTGTAAAAAAATTTCCAAATTTTACTGAAGTAACCATATCTATTTTGTGTACCTGAAATGAGTTTTCAATGCATATTTTATTTTTTCAAATCAGTAAGACTGTTTATGTGTAACTTTTTTTATTCTCTAAAAAGTGTTATTTATTAATAAAAAAAACTAGACTAATGTAATATTTCTTTTGAAAGAAATTTTGATAAGTTTCTAAACACTATATTCTAACCTAGTTAAGTACATTAATTGTTTTTAACCAGGTTTTCCGAAGGAAAAAACTGGTTATTAGATTGAGGTATGTCGGCGGGCGGATGGGCGGGCGGGCGGGCGTAAACAATTTCTTCTGTGAGCAACTCCTCCTACATTTCTCAACGGATTTTGACCAAACTTTCACAGAAGCTTTGTCATCAAGTGCCCTGGCGCATATTGTCAGGGTTTTGCGATTAGATAATATTTGACCTAATTATGGCCCTTTGTTTTTTTTCCTTATATAAAATATATAGTGAACAATTTCTTCTGTGCGCAACTCCTACATTTCTCAACGGATTTTGACCAAACTTTCACAGAAGCTTTGTCATCAAGTGCCCTGACACATATTGCCAGGGTTTTGCAATTGGTGTATATTTGACCTAATTATGGCCCTTTGTTTTTTTTCCTTATACAGAATATATAGTGAACAATTTCTTCTGTGCGCAACTCCTCCTACATTTCTCAACTGATTTTGACCAAACTTTCTCAGAAGCTTTGTCATCAAGTGCCCTGACACATATTGCCAGGGTTTTGCAATTGGTATATATTTGACCTAATTATGGCACTTTGTTTTTTTTCCTTATATAGAATATATAGTGAACAATTTCTTCTGTGCGCAACTCCTCCTACATTTCTCAACGGATTTTGACCAAACTTTCTTAGAAGCATTGTTATCAAGTGCCTGGCACATATAGTCGGGGTTTTGTGATTGGATAATATTTGACCGAATTATGGCCCTTTGTATATTTTTTCCTTATACAGAATATATAGTGAACAATTTCTTCTGTGCGCAACTCCTCCTACATTTCTCAACGGATTTTGACCAAACTTTCTTAGAAGCTTTGTTATCAAGTGCCTGGCACATATTGTCGGGGTTTTGTGATTGGATAATATTTGACCGAATTATGGCCCTTTGTATATTTTTTCCTTATACAGAATATATAGTGAACAATTTCTACAGTGCGCAACTTCAAAAATTAAGCAAAAATAAAGTACTGTTTACCTTTCTAAAACATTTTGGGAAAAAAGGCGAATAGACAAAATAAAATTTCTCAATCATTTTTGTTTGAGGAATATTAAAAAAGCCATAATTCCTCCTAAAAATTCAATTAAAAACAAATGCCCCTTCATGACAAAGCTTCTGTGAAATATTTTGCTGAAAACCTGGTTGCATCGCATTGCGATGTTCCTTGTTTGTTATTTTATCATCAGAACTGATTAGCGCTATATAATGGGGATTTTGTTAGATTAAAGTACCAAACATATATGTCAGACTATAAAAAAAAATCATATATTAATTTATTTAAAGTATATTCTATTAAAAAATTTATTTTCTTATTAAACAGGAGGAGTCGTCCTACACCAGAATCCCGAGTATGAACAAACATAATTTAGATACAATTTCATCCAAGGACCCTATGACAATACATTGGCATCAGCAACAGCAGCAAACACATATCATATCTACAAAAGTGAACAGTTTTAATCTCCAAATTTCTCTGAAAATTTGAAGGAGTTTTTTATCAACAATGTGTCCCAGAGTTTGCCTCCATACTGTATTGTTTTGTTTAGAACTGATTTAATTTGAATTTCTGGATCCAGTCTACAATATCAAGCATCTGATTGGCTGTTGCAGACTATACACGTGATATTGACCAATGATAGGCCAGCATTTTGTAGACTGGTTTGCAAATTTGTTGGGAGTTGGCATGCTTTAATGAATTGGTGGATAGGAACCAGTCACTTGAAAATCAAACTGAGGCTGTTAGTGTAAATATGTTGAGGAGCGTTCAGATGTATAAATATACTGCTGTAAATATTGTTTTGTAAATAGTTATCAGTTTTTAAGACTACAAAGTGAAGATACATCAGTGATCAAATGATTATGATTGAAGCAGACAGTTGTTATGTCTTAAGTTTTATCGAAAAAAACATTTCCTCAAACTTGGTGCTATTTTTTGCTCATTTCTCCACTGTTTTGTATAAGTTTTGTTTCCAAGATGCACAGAAGTAAAGCCAGTAAGCACTTTATTTGTACACATAGGGTAAAAAAAACAAAAACAAGTCGTACATATGTTTGGTGTGTAAAAAAATTAGGTCATATCATTATGTATGTTCTTGTCGAAAATATTAGGAATACAGTCACATGTAAATATAATGCACAGTTTGAGAAAGAAGTCACGATAAATTTGTCTAAGAAAAGAAAGGTAATCTTTAATTTCAAAATTTTGTTTTGTTTGACAGAGAAATAAGGATAAGCATTTTTAATAATTTATTTGGACAAGAAAATTGCATTTTATAGAAAAAAAATGATTTGGTTAACTTGGGTTAAACACAGTTGGGTTAATTTTAGAATTGATTAAAGGCACATTATGCCTCAGAAACATATAAAAAAATTTTTCCTTCAGAATAATGTGTAGATAATGGTTTTAGAGCATGTTACATGTGTATCACATTAAGAAAGAAGAGCTAAATATAATTTTGACTTCCATACAAAAAATACTAAATAAATTTCTAAAAGCAAAAGATTGTTCAGGTAATTTGCCAGTTAGTAACTTTTAGAAAACTAGACCAGGACACCAAAAATAAGAAGCTTTTGAGAAATAAAAATAAAAGTATTTTTTTGAGGCATAGTGGGGCTTTAACTTTATGTTGTATAGAAATATGACAGTGTGTAAATAATAGTATAGTTTATTAGATTAGATATATTTGTAATTTGTGGGTATACTGTGATCATTTGAAGTTTTAATATTGTGAAGTCTAACATAACATTTTGTTTACTGGTATATATAGTCATACCTTTTTTTAGTTCCTTCTCTCGTCACGTTAGTGCAGTAACAGGTTAACTTCTATTAAATTTTATAACAAGTTGATCCGTTACTGCACTAAGGTGACCACTGTTAATATTTTCTCCCCTCTCTTAGGTAAAATGAAAAAATAGAAAAATGAGAAGAGAAAAAAAGTTAAATTTTATAATAATGTAAAGTAGTTGGGTTTTTCTTTAATGATTATTGGATTTTTATGAGATTTGAAGCTTGTTTTTTTACAGTATTTATAATAATCATGTGTAAATATGCCAAAAAAGTAAAGAGAAACAAATTTCAGCATACCCAATGTGCCTTTTTGTTTTTTAAGAAAAAAGAAATTAAAAAAAAACAAACAACAAATAAACATGAAGTACACATATTTATTTGTTTCATGTAGTTGACACAAAATTCTTGTCTGCAGTCAATTTGAATCAAATTTTTTAAGTAAAACAAATTTGAAGAAAGTTTTAAGGAAAACAATATTTTGTTTGATTTAAGTGTGTTTAGAAGTTATATTTTATATACTTTATTTTCTAAGGGTCTATAAATTTAAACCTACGGCATAGGTTTTTTGAGAAAAATCAATGATCTCAAAATTACTGTTCAAAATAAAATTAAGTATTTTTTTGATATTTACTTTCTTCTATGTTTCAATTCACAACAATATTTTTCATCCTTTAGAAATGCTTAAAGAAGTTTAACCAGATGTAAATGCTGTTCAATTAATGACACTATAAACCCTATAACTTTTAAATATGTTTTTTCACATAATGCTTTTTGCATTCCCCTCGGACCTCCCTTGGCCAAATTTTTGAGGGTCATTCCAAATAAATGGCATGTTTAAGATAAGATAAGATAATGATGATAATCTCACAATTCTATCAATATTGTAAAAAAAGGGAAACTCTCTATACAGTTATTTTCTGTTTAAAGCAGAAAAGAATTGGGTATTTAGACTTAATTGGCTTTAGTTTCAGCATAATAAATTATTTGTACCAAAACAGAATTATTTCTTTTTCTCAAAACATTCCATACATTATTTTATTTTATGAAAATTTTTATCACAAGATACGAAAACAATACATACAGAAACAGTAGATTGAAAAGCAATTAAATGCTAATTATCAGGTGCTCGCCGGGGGGGGGGGGATGTTTCTCTGCCTGGGGGAAATGTTCCCTGCTCGAGGGGAATGTTTCTCCACTTGGGGGAAATGTTTCTCTGCTTGGGGCAAATGTTTCCTGCTCTGGGGGGAAATGTTCCCTGCTTGGGGAGGAATGTTCCCTGCACTTGGGGGAAATGTTCCCTGAATGATCTCTCCTCAGAAATGAGTGAAACAAATAAGGTATATGATTTGTTAAAATAAAAAAAAATTTATCCTCACTAAATAATTTTTGATTTCAGTCTTAAGTTATAAGTGAAAATTTTGCTTTCTATCTTTGTATCCAAATATATGCTTCATGCTTCCTTTTTCCTATTTTCAATGAAAGTACATTTTCCTCCTCTTTTTTTTTGCTAGAAATAACTCATTACTTTATCATTTTGCCTATCTTTTCCCCTTTTTCATCATTTCTTTCACATCACTCCATCTTTAATTCCTTTTCTGTTCACTTTTGTTACTTTTTCATCGTTTATGTTAAAAATTTCACTCATTTTTCTATAGCACTTTTGTTGTGTTTTATATAAATTCTTTTGTTCTCTGCAGTTTTCATGATTTTTTTGTTTTCGTCAAGTGGTAAAATGTTCTTTTTGCTTTTATCAAATATCAATATGCCGGCTTTTAGATATTAAGTATATGATCTGTCAATATAAATATCAGCTGTTTTTATCTGTATTCAAAATTTTTTAGCTTCTCGTATGAAATCAGTGTATATTTATTATTTCTATAATAAAAATGTGAGAAAAGAACAAATTTTGTTTTTTCTCTTGGGTTTGTAGTATGTACTCTTTATGTGAGAGTGTGTGTCTGGGCGCGCGACGCACGTGTTTAAATGTGCGTGCGTGTGTTGGCAGGAGTTACCAGTTGTATCCATCATACATCATTCCTGGATAGATTTGTGACGCCACCTTCAGAAATTATAACCATCCTCCGACAGTTTGAGCCTCCAAGGTCAAAGATCAAAATGCTCTAAAAATTATTTTAAGCCAAATTCTTCACTTCACCCTATTATGCTCCCCATAGTTGCAGCTTTGTCTGTCAGTCCGTCTGTCCGCTATTCTTGTCCGGGACATAACTTTAGAACAACAAGAGGTATCATCTTGAAACTTTGTAGGAAGATAGATCTCATTGAGTAGATGTTCTGTGCACAACCTTGCCTAATTTTCTAATTATTGCCCTTTGTTTATTTTTACACTTTGTCCGGGACATAACTTTTAAACTATAAGAGATATCAGCATGAAACTTTGTAGGAAGATATATCTCATTGAGTAGATGTGCAGTGCTAAATAACCGTAACTCTGCCTTGCCTATTTTTTTTAATTGTTGCCCTTGGTTTATTTTTACACTTTGAACTTTGTCCGGGACATAACTCTTAAACTATAAGATATATCAACATGAAACTTTGTAGGTAGATAAATCTCATTGTGTAGAAGTGCAGTGCTTAAGAACAATAAATCTGCCTTGCCTGATTTTCTAATTTTTGCCCTTTGTTTATTTTTACACTTTGAACTTTGTCCGGGACATAACTCTAAAACTATAAGAGATATCAACATAAAACATTGTAGGTAGATATATCTCATTGGGTAGATTTGCAATGCTAAAGAACCATAACTCTGCCTTGCCTTATTTTGAAATTATTGCCCTTAGTTTATTTTTACACTTTGAACTTTACCGGGGACATAACTCTGAAACTATAAGAGATATCAACGCAAAACTTTATAGGCAGATAGATCTCAATGAAAAGAAAGTGCAGTGCAAAGAACCATAACTATGCCTGGCCTGATTTTGGAATTATTGCCCTTTGTTCAGTTTTCTTTATACTTTTCTGTGTCCAAAACCTACTCGGGGAGCATCACATGGTTCAACCTGTTCTTGTTTTATGATTGGTTATCATAAAATTGCTTAGATCTAATTCATGAATTGTTGGCCATAGACATCGCTTCCATTATCTTGACTTAGATATCGTTTATTGTAATAGCTATTTCCCTCAACATTATAAGAGGTATATACCCCCATCCGAGGACTCCATGGTGATCTTAGCATGTGCTAACCGGTAAACCGCTCCACATACAAACTTGGCAGGTTGGCCTAAATGTTGTCTTTGATCATGTACTTTAAAGGCATATAGAATCAAAGCGCTGAAAGCACTGCTGGGGGCGCATTATGTATCCTACAGTTCTTGATTGTATAGTGGTTTATTGTTACAAGCAGATGCCATTCCAACTTTCAAAACAGAAGTCACATTTTTACTCGATTATTCGATAAGAATAAGTAGAATTATCCTAGCCATCTGAACGTCGGCGTCTATCACCTCAAATATTTCCAAAGTCCATTGACATATGGCATTGAAACTTTGCACACTTGATCCCGATCAGGCACCCATATGTTAAAGATTGCCTATGACTTCAAGATATTTTCGTATTCCATAGACATCTGGCTTTGAAATAAATTGAAATTTTATACATTTCTTTGCGAGCATACTAGCTAGGACTCTCTCCAATGCTTATATCCGTAGAATGGGTTTAATATTTGTTTGGTCCTTTTGTAAACTTAGAATATTTTAAATATCTAAGGTTCTTCTATTGTCAAGCACTAAGCATATAGTTGAGTGTGCTGTCCTACCAACAGCTATTGTTTGCATACCTTGTGAAATATAACTCCTTCAAACTTTTGTTCAGTTATTATTATACTAACACAAGAACTGTCTGAGGACAGTAAGGCTCGACTATTCGAAAAAGTTGTCACAAGGGGAGTATAATAATGCTTACCTATGAATACATAAAATGGACCGAAAAGGTACAGACTTGTTATTATGATGCTTTATCAAGTAAATCACTGCTTTATTATCATGAATGCATAAACTTGTCCCAAAAAGGCACAAACCCTTCAGTAGTTATGGAGACAACATGTTTACAAGCAAAACTTTACCATTAATTTCTAAGTTGAAAAAGGGGAGAAAAATCAGCCTAAATGCTAGATAAAATTATGGATCTTGGTCAGTAACCTACATGTACAATTATGACCCTAAATGCATGTGAAGTTTTAATATTGTAGGCAGAGTTATCTAAATTGTCAATCTGATGTACATTGTTACTATTATAATAACTATTGTAAGTTTCAATTGAATATCTCAAGCAATATTTGACTTTACAAAAAACTTTAACCAACGCAGACGCGGACGCCGGTTGACTGCAATAGCTTTCATATTCTTCAAATAGTCGAGCTAAAAACCACCAAGTCATGGTTGAGACCATATAGTTATTCCATATATAAATATATATGTATATATCATGGAAAACATTTCAAGATACGACAATGGATTGTAGTGTATAA